GCGCCCAATTTACCACCACCGACAGCCCGCGGGCACGATCCTGGTTCTACCGATTCAGTGGATGTTTAATCAACTGTGTAATGTGTTCATTTTTTTCCATTTCATTGTAAATGAAATTTTAAATTGCAAGCCATTTCCTTAGAGAGATAATCTAAATGCAATTTTAGCGCTCATATATATTAATAACTTTTTTTGTTAACATAGAAATTTGTTGTTTATAAATAAAACATAAAAATGCGACATATTTCGATATTATTAATATTGAGTGGTGTAATTTGGATTCATGTTTTCGGATTGGTAAGTTTTGTTTCGATAAATATAAAATGAAAAAAATGCGATCAATGCTTTATACATAAAACATAATAACGGGTGTCTCACTATATTTTTCCATATTTTTAGGACTTGTATCTTCCGAATCAATTAAGATATCCTAAAGCGGTTTTTACTTAAAAGTTAACATGTTTAGTGCCCACTGGGTCAGAGCAGTCTCTACCCAGAACTCAACATTAACTTTTATAATAAAATTATCAAGGCCGTAGCCAGAAAATAATTTCGGGGGGGGGGTTGATTTGGTGGAACAGTAGAAAAACATAAAATCGTTTTAATAAAAGAAATAAAATGGTATTACTTATCATATATATTTATTAGAAAACCATTACAGAAATATTAACACCTTATTACAAAATTAAATTTAGTCTTTTAACTTTCTTTGCAGCGAACAAATCAATTACCTCCTCGGTGTCGATGTCAATTCTGCGGTGGATTGACATTAATACCAAACCGTTTAGTCTTTCCTGGCCTGTGGAGTTTCTCAAATAAGTTTTGAGGCGTTTTATAGAAGAGAAAGTCCTCCCAGGAGTACATGTAGAAACAGGCAGTGTCGCCAAGATCTTTAAAAGTTTGTGTATGTTTGGAAATAAGGCCTGGTTGTAGTCTCCGAGAGCTTCAATAGCACATGTTGTTCGATCTAGTTTAGATTCCTCCACCCATTTTATCCGCCACATGTCTAATTCAGCTTTTATAAAGTCCCATTCCAAATATTTTTTATAGAGCTCAAAGTAGTTTTCTTGATAATTTTGATTAATTTGTTCTTTGTAACACACAGACGGAATTAAAATGTTGAGAGATGATAATGTGGCTTTATGATTTTGGAATCTCGACTGAAGCTGATCAATGAAATCATCCAAAAGTTGAATCATTATTATAGTAATTCTAAAATAAGTTTCAGGATCTTTTGTGTTATAGTTTGCCCTATGCTCTTGCCGTGACGTTATTCACGGAATTTTCCTTTCCTCGTTTACAGTACTGATCAAATTCTGTGCATTCTTGAAAAGTTCAGCAAATTTTGAATCAATGTTTTGGCGAACATCTTCAATAGTCTTTATAATTAAATCGACATGTGGTAAAGCTGCTGTCAAATCGCATAGGGGGATTGAAAGTATTTTGCATAGTGTCAGTGTGCACGGGAACAACATTCCTAAGCAACATAAGCTTATAACAAAATCACTTGAAATGACTGATCTCAGAAAAGAATTAGCCTTTGACGATGTTTCAGATTCCATGTCAGTGCTTAAGTCGTCTAGTGTATCAACAATAGCTTTATAAATTTCTTTAAATCTTAACAACACATCAAGATTTTCTACCCAGCGGGTCTCGCACATTGCCGTAAGGTTTCTCCATTGTGATTCAGAAAAGTTTTTTTCGATATTATCTTCTAAACTCTTGGTTCGTTTTGCCGAGGACATGATCAGATTTCCAACCGATTTTATAATTCCATTAGCTGTGAGCTGCAATGAACGTATAGGGCTTCTGGATGTGACTCACGAATTACTGCCTGCACACCTTTAAAACTTCCATTTATCGAAGAAGCTCCATCATATCCTTTTCCGACTAAATATTTGCAATCTACACCCAAAGATTTTAATTCAGATAAAATTTGCGTTAGCTAAATATCTTCCTTTTATATTCTCAACTGTTACGCAAGAAAAATCCATTATCTTTTGGCTCGGCATATCTTAGACAAATGGACATCTGTTCTTGTCGTGAAATATCAGTAGTTTCGTCAACAAGGATTGAAAAAAATTGCGCAGAATTTAATCCTTGCACAATTTTTTTCTGGATTATTTCACCACAAAATGCAATAAGTTCATTTTGTATGGTAGGACTTAGGTAGGTAGCGTTCAACGTCATATTTTCTGTGTGCTTTATAAGATTTGAGTCTCCACATCTGCTTCTCATCCGTAAGATAGCACGAAAGTTTTCATCATGTGTTTCTGTTTCAGCATCATTAATTTTTATTGGACCTGAGTCGCACGTACCTCTCAGTGCCAATTCTTATTGTATTTGGTTGAGATTTATTATACACCTTAATAAAATGATCAGCCAATATTACAGAATATTTGTGGTACTGGCTTTCACTGTGAAATCATGTACAGCATTTTTCCATTTAGTAAGCGGCTGAGTAACTAAGGATTTCAACTGCTGATGAGAGCCTTTACCTGCACAATCTCTGGCAAATAATACACAATATTTGCATAAAGCACCTTGTTGCCCTGTACTTGTGTAACCCAACCATGAGAATCGTTCAAAATATTGCATTTGAAAAATTTTTGCTTTCTTTTATCGTCACTTACTGGAAACTTGAATGTCTTTTCTGGCATCCATGGAGATTTCAACAATCTGTACTTTAAAATCATTATCAATTTTGGTGTTTGATCCCGTATAATAGCCCACATCTAAAACATGTTGAGCAGCAGAGTACCAGAACTACTTGTAGCAGTATCACTGTCGAAAACACTTGAACACTGATTTTCAGTAGAACCTTTACTACCAGTACCAGGTTTAAATTTTTTAAATAAATATTTGAATAATGTATTTTCTTGCGTCTTTTTTGTCATTTCAAATGTTGAACCGACCTGTAACAATTAAAAAAACAGTCAAGTATTAATTCCCATTTGTACACAAATATTTACTTCAATAAAGATTTAAAAGAAAATGAATACGAGTAGGTAGTCTACTCTTAGGCATCAAATCCTTTTAATTTTAATTACAAAAATTAAAACACCTCTTACTTCAATACTAATTCACAGCACTATTATTTCACACACTTCACTATTACTTCGCTTATATCGCCTTAGTCGCATCGCATTGGATCACTTTCCAAGACAGAACTGCCTCTCCGTGCTCGACGGCTCGCTTATATATTCCGCAGACGCGGCGCAACGAAATATAGAGAATAACCCGAAATGCAATTCGAGCACGTCCCCGAAATTGCGTTGCTTGTGTAGTTGGCGTAGCACGTAGTTTCGCCGCTCCCTAATAGATGTCGCTGCGCCGCTATTTAAGTATCGTCGTGCGAATACCAAGCGAGCATAACAAAAATAACAGTAGGTAGAAAATTTTGTTTGTAGTGATTAACTATTATGTTGTGAACAACAAAGTGAGACGGGCGCACTGTATATAGTTGCAGTCTCATTAATACGTATTAAAAGTCTAAAATAAATTTCTTTTTTAATTTCGGGGGGGGGGGGGGGGGATCAATTCCCCTTGATCTCCCTCTTGGCTACGGCCTTGAAAATTATAAAATATGTCACTGCAGCTTTAGTTAATTGGACGCCGGCATATTCATAGTACCTTTACAAATCTACGAGTACAAAATATTTGTGTTTCATAAAATAACATCGTGTTTTCATTTTTCATTTTTAATTTTCAAATTATATACACCCCACAAAAATTATTGCATCACAAATATGTTTGCAATGTATGTTTATAACAACTATTAGAAATTAAAAATTAAAAAAATCGACTTCAAAAACGTGCAGATGCCATCACCACATCTTAACCAAATTTATATGGGACCACCCCTGAGGTACCCCCTTACTAACAAAAAAAGAATCATATAAATCAGACAAGGTGGTAAAGCATTGTCGCTAAACATACATAAAAAATGAAGAGTTTGAGGATTTTCTCATAGACCCAATTATTAGATGTTGACTAAATTTATATGGGACCACCCCTGAAGTACCCCCTTTCTAACAAAAAAAGAATCATTGAAATCGGACACCGTGTTAAAGAATAATCGCTGAACATACATAAAAAAAATATCGCGACGAATTGATAACCTCCTCCTTTTTTGAAGTCGGTTAAAAACAGGCAGTGCTAAAAAACTGTATTTCTTTTCTAATAACAGAGAGAACAAAACAATCAAAAAATAAAATTTTGCCAAAAATGAGGCTAAAGTAGGTTATTAATTATAACATGCTATTATTGCTAGTACACTCCACAGGGTTCCAACCAAAAACCTATATTGTAACATCCGGTATACACTCTAAAATTAACTTTTATTTAAAGAATCAAAGAGATTACTATTCCTGAAGAATCAACTTATCTTCCAAAAAAAGAAAATCCAAATCAATCGAACGGTTCAAATAAAAACTCCAAATTTTTGAAAACTATTAGTGATGCGATAATTTTTGTGGGGTGTATACTTTTTAATTTATCAAATTTCTCTTTTAAAACATAAATTTAGTAAAAAATTATAGGAACACGTATATTTTATATTTCAGGGGTGTCAAGTTAATTGGACGCGGGCTGTCAATAGAAACTCTTGCGTCCAGTATACTGGACGTGGGCACTGAACTTGTTAAGTAAGGTCATAAGATTTATTAGTATACCGGAAATGAAATTGTATCCGCATCGGGATATCTATGACAAATACTCAAAATGTGAAAAAATATAGTGAGACGCCCCGTAATATTACTAATAGGTAGAGATGTCATCGTAAAATATGAGTGTGCTCATAAAAATATTAACCTATCAGGATACTGATTTCTGAAGTGACATAATTATATAGATTTTTAGAGAGAAGTGATAAATCACATCCACGCTTTTGGTTACCGGTTAATCAAAGCCTTTATTCTTGAATTGTGGGGAAATTATCACCCATTGTTGTCATGATTTATTAGATACATTTGACCTATTTGGTTGTTTTGTTAATGATATGACTTTTTCGCTATCTGCTGTCAATAATTTTGATGTTTTTTAATTTTTAATTGTACAAAGTCGATGGAAATTATATAATTTAAATACCACTGTCAAAATTATTTTGTGTTCTAGGGCTTAATGAAACAGGTTATTCTTTTGGGGCATGTCCAAAACTACATCAATCAAGATTATTGGGATATCATTATACATATGAAGAAACCCAATAGAAAAACTTTTCAGATGAATATAACAATGATTCTTTATAGGGATATACATGACGTGCAGGTGAGAAAATACATTTGTGTAGACTTTTATATTAAAACACTATTTTACTTTATATTAATACTTTATTGTTATTAGAGGCGAATTTAACACTTGAGATTGTAATACAGAATGAATAATATAATAGAAAAATTGTGTCGAATTATATTACTACGTAGATTCACTCAGAGATCGAATAATTCGAGATATATATATATTATGTCTCTATATTAATATTAATAAATAAGACGCACGGCCATTCTGATTTTCTTTTGTCCTCGAAAGGTAAAATATGTCTGCATGGCCATTTTGCTGCCCTTTTACGCTCAAAAGGTTGGTAAGTATCTGATAACAAATTATTAAAATAGTATATTATTAAACGAGCAATTTATGGTAGCCATTATTCACGCAGGGTGAAGTCGATTTTTCGATTTTTTGATTTTTCGATTTTTCGATTTTTCGATTTTTCGATTTTTCGATTTTTCGAATTTTCGATTTTTCGTTTTTTCGATTTTTCGATTTTTCGATTTTTCGATTTTTCGATTGTTCGATTTTTCGATTTTTCGATTTTTCGATTTTTCGATTTTTCGATTTTTCGATTTTTCGATTTTTCGATTTTTCGATTTTTCGATTTTTCGATTTTTCGATTTTTCGATTTTTCGATTTTTCGATTTTTCGATTTTTCGATTTTTCGATTTTTCGATTTTTCGATTTTTCGATTTTTCGATTTTTCGATTTTTCGATTTTTCGATTTTTCGATTTTTCGATTTTTCGATTTTTCGATTTTTCGATTTTTCGATTTTTCGATTTTTCGATTTTTCGATTTTTCGATTTTTCGATTTTTCGATTTTTCGATTTTTCGATTTTTCGATTTTTCGATTTTTCGATTTTTCGATTTTTCGATTTTTCGATTTTTCGATTTTTCGATTTTTCGATTTTTCGATTTTTCGATTTTTCGATTTTTCGATTTTTCGATTTTTCGATTTTTCGATTTTTCGATTTTTCGATTTTTCGATTTTTCGATTTTTCGATTTTTCGATTTTTCGATTTTTCGATTTTTCGATTTTTCGATTTTTCGATTTTTCGATTTTTTGATTTTTCGATTTTTCGATTTTTCGATTTTTCGATTTTTTGATTTTTCGATTTTTCGATTTTTCGATTTTTCGATTTTTCGATTTTTCGATTTTTTGATTTTTCGATTTTTCGATTTTTCGATTTTTCGATTTTTCGATTTTTCGATTTTTCGATTTTTCGATTTTTCGATTTTTCGATTTTTCGATTTTTCGATTTTTCGATTTTTCGATTTTTCGATTTTTCGATTTTTCGATTTTTCGATTTTTCGATTTTTCGATTTTTCGATTTTTCGATTTTTCGATTTTTCGATTTTTTGACTTTTCAATTTTCCGATTTTTCGATTTTTGAATTTCCGATTTTTCGATCTAGAAAATATCGTTATGAAAAGTATCGCCCATCTTTAGTTATCTACCGGAAATTGCCAGAATTACAAAAGCGTGAATTATCATAATTCACTCTAGTGGTATATGGGTACCATATGCTTTTAGTTAGGAGGTAGAATATTGATATATTATTAATTGGTCGTGGACAAACGATATTATTGAATGATTTCTAGCATTTATGTTAGTTATTATATTGCCGATGATGGGTAACTATAGTATTTATTCAGTTAACCTATTTGGGCTGTAAAAATTTACCAAACAACCATACAAAAATTCGTTTTACGATCACTACTGAGTCCACGGTGTTTAAGACTACAAAAAAAGTTGTAGGATAAATTTAATAGGGATTATGCAGAAGTTTTGGCTTTGCCTTTAAATATAGTATTCAATCTTGCATCAAAAAGCTTAAAATTTCATTCAGTGAAGAGAGAAACCAAGATTTGTCTGATCCATAAGAGTGGGGAGATGTTCTCTAATTTTTTTCAAAGGTCTTTGAGGTGGTCATACATACGGGGGCCTCATTAAAAATGGGACACAGAACAACTACAAAATTTTCTAATTAAAAATAAGCCGATTGAACGAAATAGGCTTACATAAAATGTTACCGGTTTTCGAAATATATAATTTTTGGTACAAAATCCGTCGCCCTTCGGTCCCATGAAAACATTAATTTCTTGACGACTTTTGAAAAAGGGATGGAGAGAGTATGTGGTACCAAAAGCCTCGCCCTTCGGTCCCATGAACTACACGCATAACAATATTTCTTCAATTTAATTTTCAGTCCACTTCTGGCGATTATTTTGGGAGGGAAATGAGATCCAAAATGAGTCCCATACATCTCTCCCACAATAAACATTTCAAATTTTTATTTTAAAGTTGCTCTTGAGGCCCCTAAAATTTTATAATTTGTGTAAATTTCACGGAAGGCCCCTAGACCAAATATCAGCGACTATTTCTCTAGCTACCTAATCAAATCTATAGTCCAATTATTAAATAAAATTATTCAGTTGTCCCGTTATAAATCCATAACCATTATAGGTACCTCTTATCATATTATCTGTGGAGCACAATTTGGATTTAGAAGCGGCAGATCAACAGTAGATGCTATAGAATCTGTAATGAATCTGGTGAACTTCTCGTAGTCGCCCGAAAAAGTAAACTTTTCGTTCTTATAACATAAACTACTATTATTGTGTATTTATTAATTTAAGTTACATCTAGGCTTCTGGAAATAATCTCATCAAATATAACTCGACCTTAATAAATTAGAGATTAAACTGGTTAGGAATGAAACGTGTTGGGAATAGGTATTTCTTCTACCCTAAATACATTGTAATAATAATAATTATAGCATACTTGCTAAACGCTAAAAGGTAATAAGTTAGAACTATAAGAATTCTTGGCGATAAGAGTTGATACAACGCACTTAAAAATTACATAGTTCGTTTCAAAGTATTGTTGGTGATTTTGTAGTTTTTACTTTCTCTCGTAGTTTTAACCTAATACATTTTATCGTTTTGGAAACATGCTATATAAAATTTCACGAACCATCCTGTATAGTTTTTATAAAAAAACACGTTTATATTTATGATAAAATCTAAGCTAATGAACATTTTTATAACATTAAAACCACTGCCTGATCAAAGTAAAATATACCTCAATTTTTTTTGTAATACTAAAAACTTCAAACAATATTTACTTTCTTTGTAGTTTTTATCATAATAATGGTACAATGTAGGTAAGAGCAAACTTCATGCCATACAATTGTTTTTTATTCCGTTGTAGTCGTTTGATGATTTAAAATCGCTTTTATTTGTTTTTTTTTTATTTAAAAGTCTGTAATTTTCTTTGAATGAGATTTCTAATTTTGTTGACTCACTTGTTTAGTTCACGAACACTGACAGTAAAGCTTTAATGTCTTTAGATTTTTAACGGTGCTGTTGTACAGAAAAGGAAATAGGAAAGGTAGGTGTATAATAAATATTGTTTTTAAATTCGATAAAAAAGTATATAGCTTAACTTTGTTCACGAAACGAATTTTGAATAAATTGTTTTTATTTTATTACAATATCCAAATGAATACAAAGTATCAAAATAAAATCATAACAATACACAGAAAAATGCAAATTTACCAAATAACAATTTACGAGTTTTTCTTCTGACAGTTTTACAGACATTAAAACAATCTTAAATCTAGGAGACCGTACTGGAATTCTTTAAGACTGTATTTAACAACCATTTTTCCCAATTCGCCGCAGTCTTCAGATTTACTTCAGCTAATCATTATACCTCCATGTTTGATATTAGCTATTTTTGTAAGATTGATGTTTGTAGAAACTGGATTAATATTTTTTGTACCTCAGAGACTAAAAATGCATTTTACTTCCTCATTTTAGGGACTGAAGAGCCACTTATACTCTCTTGGTACTAAAATATTTTAGTCCTAATGAATTAAAAAATTTTAGTCCTGCAAATAACAAAACCAATAGAAACCATAGCAAACTACTTTATTCGGGCGGTAATATAACAAGACCTCTTTTATAAGCGAATAAATTTATCGATTTTCCTGAAAATAGTTTTGTTTAAAACTTTGAATATATTTTTATTTATTAATAGTACAATTATTAAAAACACACTTGAATACTATAAAACGTCAAAATAATAAATTTCAATTAGACATTTAGTGTATACCTACTTGATTTACGTATAATGTGTTGCCTATATTCAAGGAACTGTCAACAAGAACATTGAAGTTTATTCGCAAAGAAAGGAAGGTGAGTTTATCAGCGAATAAATGTTGACAGATGAGAAAAATAATCAATGAAATTAATTAAATTAACAATTACAAAAAGGAGTAATCTTTAGTCCATCAAATAACAAAACCAATAGAAAACATAATAAACGACTTTATTAATTAAAAAATTAAATAAAAAACAATATGACAGAACGCACCAAGCGAAATAACATAAAAATAAACAGCCTTAGAATCAATTATCAGTTTTAGTATCTGCGGTACAAAAAATAGCGCATCTACCACGAGAAAGTGCATTTTAATCCCTCGAGTGATTGTTGCCCGAGTGGGATTAAAATTGGTACTTTAGTCCCTTGGTATATAATATATTATTATCATATCATGTTTGGTAGCAGAGGCATCTTGCTTCAATTTGGGCTGGATAATGTAAGAAGGTTGTTTCTTAAGAACTTGATAGTATAGGTCAAGGTGAACGGACATTCGAAACTGCATTCCAAATCGGTCAGGTAGAATTTTAACAACGGAACTGCATCTCGGGTACAACGAAACTGCATCCGCGGTGCAAATTTTATTACTACTAAAATTTTTCAAAAATTTAACCAGTGTTGTCAAATGTAATTTTTAAAAGTAGGTACCCATCTATAAAGTAAAAGAAACATACATAAATAGGTACTTTATTGAACCCTTACCAGAAAAATGTTAGAAAATGGGACATGCATGTGATACTCCCCTTGTACCCCAACATTATTGACCACATGTCACTGTCAACTGTCAATACTCCTGACAAGTCAGTACAGACGAACGGACAACCACAT